TTGTATGATCAAACATGATTGAGCTCAAATACATATTTTGGATTTTTGTCAAAACGTGATTGTAAACGAACTTTACCTTCTTAAATGGAGGTCAAATCTGAAATTCTGAGAGGTAAGAAGGCTCTGGAACGATTCCCCGATGTTAGTTCTTCAAGGTAGTGTTCTTTGTATCACCGAGAAAGTCCTAGATTGCCTGGCTGAAGCTCAGTTTCAGAGCCTCTCAGTCAGCTTTGTCGCAGGTCTTCCAGCGAGGAGATTCACCATCGGGATCGATTTACCGGCGCTTTTCCGATCGGAAAAGTGCCGATCGCTCAATCTCAAGGAGTCTCAACTCACTCTCTTGCTCGATCTCTCTCCTCTTCTCTCTAGTTCTCTCTCTCTCTCTCTCTCTCTCTCTCTCTCTCTCTCTCTCTCTCTCTCGAATTTCCTCAAGCAGCTTCCATTCATAATGTTCAGTTTTTCTTGTTTCCCGCCCAAATTCAGTTAGAACCGACTTTCGACCGGTTAGATCGATTCTCTGGCGCCAGCCGGAGATTCTCCAGCTGGCCAACTTGATTTTCACGTGCTAAATCGATTGGGGAAGGTTCACGAAGTCGCGGGTTCAACTTGATTTTTTTGGGTTTTATTGTGTTTTGTGTGAATCGGGCGAAAAAGACAAGTTCCCGGGTCGGGTCGGGTTGACCCGGCTGACCCGGTAAGCCCGGTTTTGACTAAAAATTCAAATTGAGCCCAATTTCGATCGATTTTTCCAAATTAAATCCAAAAATTGAATTCCTCATAACATTCTAAACCCAAATATGAGATTTTCCCCAATTTTTGACAAAATCATGTCCAAGATTTTCGAACTTTTGTATTCGGGTTATTAGGGTTTTATTCAATTTGATGTCTTAATGACCTGATTAGGCAAAATTGGTGCCAAAATTGAATTACCCACATCTGATTACCCCTAGAAATGATAGTCTCATGGTTCGAAAATTTCAAATTGGACACGATTCCCAATTTGGGCTTAAAATTCCTAATTTCCAATTGAATTTTGGGGATTTTTTATTTTTCTGACAAATTATGCAATTGGACTGACTATTATGTAATTCAAGGTCCCAGAATCGTTTGTTGTGAAGACACTATGACTTAAAAATGACTAGAAAATATTTAATTTCATTTTTGGTCCAATTCGGGTTTGATTTTGCCCAATCTTGAGAAAAACATATGCTCGATTGAGTTTTTTCAAAATTGATGATGAATTAATGAAATTGGATTTAAAATAAGACTAATGACTATTTTTATGGAATTTTATGATTTCATTTGCTATTTTTCATGATTTTCTCACTTATTTTGACTAAAAGAAATTAAAAAAAAATCAGGAAAATGCTAAAAAAATGATTTTTGGTTTATAAATAGGTTTCTAGGCTTGGCTAAGATTCATAATCTAATTTTGAGATTTTTAAAAATATGAAAAAAAAAACGAGCTAAAAATCAGGTGTCAACAATTATTAAAGTTGTCCACGTCAGCGCCGGTGACCGGTCGACGCCCACGTCAGCAAAATCTGGCCAAAATTGGCCGGAAGGACTGAATTGGCACAAAAACAAAAAGTTTAGGACTGAATTGGCACCAATGCAAAAGATTTAGGACTGAATTGACACCAAAAAAAGATTTAGGACTAAATTGGCACCAATGCAAAAAGTTTATGACTTTTTTGGCACTTTTCTCCTTTTCATTATATAATGATTTAATATTTCATGATATAAAGTAATTTTTCTTAATTTTTTGACTTCCGACTTAAAGCGGACATGCAACGTGTATGTATATTTGCTAGTATATTTAATGACAACCTAAACATGAGAGGTGTCTCTTCAAATATACCCCTATCAACAATTATTATTTATAAAAGAATTAATGAAGTTTGTTTTACAATTGCTAGCAGTACAATCTTTTTTTTACTTTGAGGAAATCCTTATATGTACTGTGTATTACTTATTTAATTTTTAATTTTAACTAAGCAATCCATTAAACTTATAGAAGCAAATATGTTTGTGTTAGCCAATTGCCATCAAAGTTATGTAAAAAGCTGTTAATCTCGTCTTGTGACTATAGGGAATTAAAAGATTGAATGAAATCCGATTGAAAGAAGGGGACATCTTCAAAGAATGGGCAAGAAAGCTAGGGTCACAAAAAAAAAAACAAGCATAATTAATAAGTGTTTATAAATAAGGACAGTCTAATAATATCTATAAAAAGAGAACAGTTGATTGATTAATGGTCTCATGTCAAGCAACACTTACATATATAAATATCATTTTTGTTTACAAAAGAGCTGGGATATTGATAATTAAATTAAATAAAGGATATTTTCTACGGTTTCTGGTTGCCCAACAGACCTAGTGTGTTTCATATGTATTTTCTTGACATCTTAAAACAGAGCGTTTGGAAGAGTTGAGAAACTAGAAAGATAAGCAAAAAAGAGTAATTTTGTATATTTCTATATATCGTAATGAAATTACATTAGCCTATTTATAGGCTTTATGAAATTACTAAATAAGATGACATATCGATCAAGATATGCATAATCAAAGAGAGATATATCGATATTCGTACAATCTTGAGAGATACAGAATTCCATCAGAATTATCTTAAATATTTCTAATATCCCCTCAAATGTCATTAAAGATGTCAACTTGAGTTTGAATACTAGTCTGAATAGTGTCCAATGGCTGAGACATGGCGGATGAGGCGAAATTTTCAAATCTTGCTAGTCTGAGAGTAGCAAGTCTAGTGGTGGTGTGGCTTTCAAGAATCGGAGGGGAAATAGCAAGCAACCGATGCAGGTGGCTTGCGAAACAATAATCGAGCGACGCGGCCTATATGGCTGACATCGTAGTATCAAGCGACCTATACAACTTGACTGGGTGATGCGACCGTTGCAGTTGGCATCGAAACACGACCATCAACTCAACTAAGCGCTTCCTCATATGAAAGGCCTCTGCATACTATGCGTCTACCGGACAAGATGAATAATGTTGAAATCAATGGAGGATATTATGACTTATTGAAAAAAAAAAAAAAAAGGAGAAGAAGCTAAATTAGCTTTGGATGGGCACTTGGGTGTGCACAGGGTGCACTTGAGAAATTAGAGATATGCAAAAGAAAGTAATTTTGTATATTTGGATATATCATAATGAGATTACATTAGCCTATTTATAGGTTTTATGAAATAACTAAATAAGAAAACATATCAATCCAGATATGCACAATCAAAAAGTGATATTCACTCAATCTTGAGAGATACAAAAAATCACTAAAATTATCCTAACTATCCCTAAGAATAAGAAAGTAACTATACAAAAAAGCATTCCATGCGTTGACTTTTTGCATTCGTCGTCTTTTAGCTGATCAAACATATGTTTATATTATCTATACTTGGCCAGATGGAAACATATTATCTTTCGAGAAAGTTACATGGGTAAGTATTCGATTTTATGTGACAAATTCCTAATCGAATTATGTCTCCAACTCAAAGTAAGACTTTTTAACCTGAACTAAGGCTTTCTAGACAAGGCAAAATGCACTTCACCACAATTGTTTGAATTTCTTTGTTACGCGATACTCTTCTTTCACCACCATTCCCCTGCGATCGTCCAGTTGCCGCGGTTGGCACTAGCCGCTTGCTACTGCCTTCGCCAGCTGCCAATTGAGGATGGCCGATTGCCATTCATCAGCACTACCCCTCGCCCCCTCGTCCACTGCCCGCCGCGACCAATCGCAACGCTGTCAGTCGCCAAACTTCGTCGGTCACCATGGTCATCTGCCACCGATCACTGCCTCCACTACCCACCCCTTGGCCCGATCAGTCCCCAATCGCCGCCGTAAGTGTCCTGTCACCACCGTTGCAACGGATCATCTAATCCCTCACGACCCATGATTGCCAATCAACACAAACTTTTCTGTTATGTTAGTCGACATAATTCTCTATTTTTTTCTTTCGAGTGTATCGAAGTGTGCTAAATCTTTAAAAAGAAATTCATATATTTATCTTTTAATAGGGTTCTTCGGAGTGCACGCTTGCACGCGCACACATATGTACACATGGTCTAATAAATTAGAAAGACTTACTAGAAATCCATTACAGGCTCGTTTGGTTCGACTTTCCAAATGCTACTTGGGGGAATGTAAATACCTTTAGGTTAAAGCCCCTTGAGGAAATGCAAATGGCGTTTAGTAAAAAATCCTTTATAAAGTTACTTTGGGCCAAGTAGTGTTTGGCAAATTTTTTTTTGCAAAAGGGCTTTGGGAATTATCTTTTTTATTAAAAAAAAAAACCTACCCTACCCTTCGCCGGAGCCGGCGAAGGCCTACGGCCGCCAGCGAGCTAGATCTGGCGCCGGTGGCCGTCGCCCGAGGTCGGGCAAGCCATATCTGCCACCGGCAGCCGTCACCCAAGGCCGGGAGGCAGACGACCTCGCGCGACCCACGCCGGCCGTCACCTGGGCGGTCGCACGACCTCAAGCGGCCGTCGCCTGGGTCACGCGACCTCGTCGACCTCTCACCGGCCTCCCTCCCCAGCCGCCTCACGAAGAAGATGAACAGTAACAAAAGGGGCAAAACCGGAATAAACCAAAATAAGTTATGGTAGTTTGGGAATAAAAAATTTGGGTTCAGCATTCCAAATGCTAACATTTGGCCAATGGACTTCGAAACGGTTCAGCATTTCCTCAAGGGACTTTTGAGGCCAAAAGCCTCTTTCAAATACTGAACCAAACGGGGCCTACATCTTTCGGTCCAAGCCATTTTTTTTTTTGATCGAAGGTCCAAGCCATTGAATTGGAATTCCCTTCCCCTTTGTTCACCATCATCTAGAACTCCAACCAAGCAAATGGCACCACGTCACTTCCCACTTTCTCTTCCTACGACTGCTAACTTCTCGTGACTCTCCCAAAGTTCAAAACCATGAAGACGCCAAATAAGACCAAGAAAGTTGCTACGACCCACTTTTATAAAATCAAGAACAGGAGAACCTCGTGGCTCTCAAATTCAAGCTTCTTTCGTCTACTTTTTCCCCATCGTTCTGATACAGTGGAAGAAGAGAGAGAGAGAGAGAGAGAGAGAGAACGAAAGGGCTGCGGAAAAAGCAAAGGGAAGATGTCTTGCTTTGTGCCTTTCAACAGGAGGAACCTGGACATATGCTTCTTCGTGTTCAGGCCAACTTTGGTCGTCGTGGACGAGCTCGTCGAGGCCTTGAAGCGATTCTCCGTGTCCACCGAGGCTCTCGGCTGCGTCCAGAGCTCCATTTTCAGGAGCATTCATGGCAACATGGTATGTTTTCGATTTAACCCATTTTCAGAACAAAGTCCATGTCGAAAAACTATCTTCGATCCGATTAATTCAATCTAAATATATTGTGCAGAGGAACTTTATAATGTGTCCTTTCTCTTTGTCGGAGTCCACAGTGGTCCAAGTATTGACCGATCGAGTTCGAGAATTCTGCGCTTGTCTTATTTTGGGGAATTGTTTATTACGCCGTGAAATTTTTGGAGTTGTTTTATTTTAGCCCCTTTACTTTCATATTGCCCAGTCAGATTGCATGGGGTATTTTCTTTTTTAGACCGAAATCGACCTAAGACTGCATCACGCGCCTGTTACATAACCTTTGAGGCAAAACGTGTAGAATCGGTGAAGGTAGCGGAGCGATCTGAGACGGTTTCGAGGGATAATTTGATACAAATATGACTCGATGGCGCGAAATTGACAGAGTCGAGAAAGTTTAAAGGGCGATGTGAAATTTCCCTCTCTTCATACTTGAAGCAGTAGTTTTGTTAGGAACAAATGTGTCTATGAGATCATTTTCTTTTTGCTTTCTCAGAACACATTATGAGAGTCACGAATTTTCTCACCTTTAAGAGGTCTTATATTAACCGATGGTAGTATGCTTTCCCAGATTATATGGTACGGCGCATGGATGAGGAAATCAAGCGACAACAAAGAGTCACTGAATGCGACACTGGTGAGTTCTTCATTATCCAACACTTCCAAGTTCTGTCCCTTAATGAGATCGATCATGCTTTGAAACTTCAAATATGGGCCAAGATGTCTCACCAAAGCCACTTACATTAGGACTCAAAGTGCACATCTTTGATGGTTACTCTAGCAATGACAGCTTATCTTTATTATTATTTCGTTTTTTTTCGTATCGTCCGGGTGTCTGGTGTTATTTGAGGAACCATAAAGAGTGAGATCCTCCTTATGTTCGGTCCTCACGGAATTATTATAGAATCACACGGATCTGTAACTCTGAGGGTGGCCCAATGAATTAACTACGATGAGGGTCAAACTTGGGACCTATTGATTTCTAAGGCAAAATGTCCGAGTGCAAATCTATCGATGTGATGACATGCCGCCTCATCTTATGAGTATTTTCTCCCCGTTTGAAAATGGACCAATTTCTCACGTACATGCAAGAATTGTCTCTCTCTTCTCATATGACAAGAAATGCTTGAGTCTTTTTCTCTTTCACTAAAAAAATTTTCCCCGTCTTTTTTTCCTAGCTATCAATGTTGACTGATGTATCAACCATGGCCATCCTCATCGAGCACAGCTTCTTCGAACCCTACGCGGGTGAGTCGCGAGACGGCTCGTTGGCCGCCAAACTCTCGACGGGCGACATCATATCCGTCGATGCGGCCGAGTCCACCGCTTGCAAGATCGGTGACCTAGCCTACGCGTGCTTAGCGATATTCAAGTCTCGGTTCATGAAGATTGAGGGCGTGAACGCTGGGGTTTGCATGAAATCGCAGAGCCAGCCGAGGGTGGCGTGCATCGTCGTGTGGAAATCGCTTCAGTTCTGTTACTCATATATCTTGAAGTCGGAGTATCGGAAGGCGATGCTCCCGTATCTCGAACGGTTCTCTCTCGACATCAAGTACGACATCTTCAAGGTAGTCTACGTGAGTAGTGAAGGTTCAGTGAGTTACCATCACCATGTCTCTCCTCAGCCCATGTTAGGGCATGAGGGAGAAAGCAAAGAGAGGCAGGTCATGCAGAATTGACGAAGAGTGGTTCATTTGTTGTGAATTTATATATTGCAGTATATTTGTACGGAAATTTTGAATCTATTTTACTATGTTGAACTCTCTCATAGGCATAATTAAAATTCGAGCCAATTGACATATTCAGTTTACCCTATTTAAAAAGATATTGTTGCTGAAGCAAACGATCGAACAATAAAATAAACAAAACAAGAAAATAAATCAGATATCAGATTTTTACGTGGTTCGATTGCAGTAACCTACGTCCACGGGAAGAGCAGTAAAGAATTTCATTATAGGTTAAGTGATACAACGGAGATTACAATCATACTCGAGTGAATCACTTAGATACTCTCGGTGTTTCCTAGCCACAATTCTTCACGAAATAATATCTCAATCTCATAAAAGACTTAACTAATCTTACCACAAGATTTATTTAGCTTCAACACTTGAATTCTGAGAAAAGTGTCAAAAAAGTCCTAAACCTTTTGCATTGATGCCAATTTAGTCCCAAATCTTTTTTTGGTGATAATTCAGTCTTAAACCTTTTACATTGGTGCCAATTTAGTCCTAAACATTTTGCATTAATGCCAATTTAATCTTAAACCTTTTGTACTAGTGCCAATTCAGTCCTAAACCTTTTGTATTTGTGCCAATTCAATCCTAAACCTTTTGCATTGGTTCCAATTCAGTCCTAAACCTTTTGCATTGGTGCCAATTCAGTCCTTTCGGCTAATAACTATTCGCATGTTGAAGGACTGAATTGACACCAATGCAAAGGTTTAGGACTGAATTGACACAAAAAAAAAAGGTTTAGGATTAAATTGGCACCAATGCAAAAGGTTTAGGACTGAATTGGCACCAAAAAAAAGTTTATGACTCGATTGGCACCAATGATGCAAAAGGTTTAGGACTGAATTGACATAAAAAAAAAAGGTTTAGAACTGAATTGGCACAAATCCAAAAGGTTTATGACTTTTTTTTACACTTTTTCCCTTGAATTCTTGGTGTAATTTCACGAACAAAATCCACGGGGCATACCCTGCCAAGCGCTCGATGAAACGGGGCTTCCACAGTACGTATATTGCACGTATTCATCAACCATCTCGAAGACCATGAGTGAAGGAAATATAATAATTCTCTGAACCTTTGCCGACTCAAACAAGAAAAGAAATCCATGAGAATATATGCATATATATATTCCCTCCGTTCGAGGAGTCCAAATGAATGGGTCAAAGGAAGGTGAAAAGAGCAAACCTCCTACAACCTGGACCCATAACACCAAATCGGAAATCTTGATTTCCGTAGCACACGATCGATGTTCACAATGTTACAACTTCCGCACTTTCCTTTTATCAGTCGGGCTTCCTTATAATTTATCTAGGATTGGATTTTGTTCGTGAACTCAAACTCAAGATATATTTTAACAGGTACCTTATAAATATATAGAAGTCGATCGATCTAACTAACTTAGGTTTAATTGTTTAACCATCCAACAAGCCTAATTCTTAAATCGACATATCCTTAATTCAAAATCTCTCTCTCTCTCTCTCTCTCTCTCTCTCTCTCTCTCTCTCTCTCTCTCTCTCTCTCTCTCTCTCTCTCTCTCTCTCTCTCTCTCTCTCCCTGAAAATTGCAAAGAGGTTGCCGACCTCCTTGGCACGACAGATGAGGCACAATGAGGTAGAAGGAGCGTGATTAGTTATCCAATGTCGGTCTTTGAACCCAAAGATGAGGAGAGAAAGGCATGACTTGGGAGGGCCTAGACCCGACAGAGATGGAAGCAAGATGAGTTCATAACGGTTGGCCTAGTTAAACCCAACCCTATCCGAGTTTCTCCAAATTCTCTTGTGGAAATCCCAAACCTAAGTCATTACCAATTCTTTGGCAAAAGACCACAGATCCACATATTGTAGCACTCAATATTTGCTTATCCACTATCGAATGAGTTGTTACTGTTGGCTCGTCACGTGATATAGGAGAGATTAGAGGGAGCGGATGCTAATTAGGAAGCGAAAGGAAGAATGAAAATAAGTTTAGAGTTTGACGGAGAAAAATGTGGTTGAAAAATATAAAGGACGTTATAGCAATTTATTTCGAGAAAAAGTGTCCAATTTATACAAACAATTATGGATGACTACTTAGGGCGAACATGGATGTTTGTGCTGAGACAAAAATTTGATGCAATAGTTAGAAGCAGGCAACTGAGAGCTTTGACCGAAAAGGAAATTGGTAAAGCGATCCAGCATGTAATGATTTTTTTTTTGTCAGACGGCATGTAATGATGAACAGCATAGAGTTCTGATTGGAGCTGTTATACAAATCTGCATGAAGGAAGGTTAGCGACACACCACACTAATTCTAGTGAATCACAATAGGTTGCAAAGTTGATAAGTAGAATGTTACTAGAGATAGTTCATAAAATATTCTCTAGTACTGGTACGGCTAGGAAATTCCTGGCAAATGTGCTTAGTACGGCAAGCTACCTAGTGATTAAATCATCATTGACTGCATTGGATGTCGAACTCCCAAAGAAGTGTGGTCATATAATGTTACTGATTATTTTGTTCTTAAAATATTTGGTTTACCCATGTCATTTTCGAGTAGTGATGGTAAAGTCAATGGGAGGGGTAAGAAAGTGAATATTTCTAGGTTATGTACAAGGTGAACGAGGCAATCAATTGCGGTATTTGGAATTAAATTCACATGTTATCAATAGAGAAGTTACATTTGATGAGTCTCAATACTTCTGGGAAAAAGTGTTATTGGTAATTTTCATACGAATTTGGATAGTATTCAGTTTCAAATGAAATTGCAATCAGAAACTCCTAAGGTAGTGGGTATTAGCGTGGTAATCAACACAAAGGGTGCTTGCAGCGAGATGGAACCTTTAGAGCCAACGATTATTGTAGCTGCTGAGTTTAACGAGGTGCATGTTTGATCTGCTTAGTTTCGCTTTATTTATAATAAAGGAGGATGTGTCTAAAAATTCTTGTGGAGTAGCTAAAGGTACGAGTGGAGTTGGTGTTATGATAAACTACAATGTTAAGGAGAAATTCAAGCGCGACTTGAACTTGAAAGATGTCTGTGGCAATTAAGCCCGTGAGGGGCTATGGGAGAGTAGCAATAAAGTTGAGATTCCAGTTAAGCAATTGTGACTAGTTTGAGCCAAAGTGGAGATTGTTGAAAATATATCTCAAATTTTGGCTCATAAAAAGTAGGTTTCTTAGGTTTCCTAGTTTGAGTATGTTTTCTATTTAGAATCCAAAATATTGTCTATATAAGGGGTCTTCTTCTTGAATTGCATCTAAGAGGTTGTTTCTTCATGAATTACACTCGAAAGCAATTTGAGAGTGTTAAAGCCAAGAAATCTTGTAGTAAGACTTGTGTAATTCCTTTGTGGCATTGATAGATTGTTTCGCGAGTAATTGTGAGGGCTAAATACTGTGTGAGTTATTGAGCGTAATTAAGAGCTGAGAATTCTAAGAGTGTGTAAATGAATCAAGTATGGTTGTAATCACTATTGTATCGATTGATCTATAGTGATACCACATGTTGCTCTCCCTATTAAGTAAGTCCAATGACCGAACCACGTAAGTTTGGTATTCAATTTATTATCTTATTCTATTTATTTTGTTGTTTGATCGCATGATCTTGTTTTAACATGGGGAATGGTAATTTGAAAAATATGTGAGGGAACGTGGTAATGGCATGAAAAGTGTAAAAGGTAATTGGTGTTTTCCTAATTTTTAAATAGGCAATCCAACTACAGTTCAAAACTCGATTATGATCTATTAGAATATCAGACTATCGAGAAATCAAAATGAAAGGATCATACTCAGGAACTGTGCACATAACAATTTAAAGTAAAATGGAACTATTTCTAAAATTCAAATAACTGAATTTGGGGAAAAAACATCAACAAGTGCTATAATTTTCGCACGGCGCTCACTTGAGTGCCATAACTTTTTTTCAATCATATGAGTACGATAACTTTCATATGGCACTCACTTGAGTGCCACAACTTTATTTTCCAATTACTTAATTGTCATGTAACTTTTCAATCGCCATATAACATTTCAATCGATCACTTGACTGTCATAACTTTTGAAAAACGTTCACCACAAGTATCATCCATGTTGGGTTTTTGACACTTGGACGAACTTCTTTTAAGAGTTATGGCACTTAAGTAATTGATTGAAAGTTGGGACACTCAAATGAACTTTTTTTCAAAGTATTGGCACTCAAGTGATCGGAAAAAAAAAGTTATAGCACTCAAATGAACGAAAAAAAATGAACAATATACGAAAGTTATAGCACTTATAGTGTCATTATACCGCTCAATTTGTATTTGACGCTTCTTGCATCGGCTGTGCAAAATAATCTGCTTAAATCGCTCAGCTTGAACTTGGGATCACTAAGGCCCAATGGTACATAATAACACCAGATTTCCGACCAAAAAAAACACCAGATAGTCCAGCCCATTGCGAGTGAAGTTTCGATCGAAACGCACAAATACACATACATACATACATACATACATACATATATACTTCCTTAGACATTTGTATTGGTGCGCACTTTGGTTTATTTCTTAGACATTTAGTCTGGAATTTCCTTTTATAACACAAATTTTTTCTATCAAAAGTGGGAATTCTAATCATTAACAAAAATGTAGGAGTTTGTGACTTTCATTTCGAGTCATTGACGAAACCAAGTAAAATGCTTCTTTTATGAAGAATAGTGAAGAAAAATTGGGTTTGATGCATTAATTATAAATATCTCTCCATCAACTTAGGTTCTTTCAAAAATCAAAAGAAAAAAAAATGCTGTTTTCAATGATATTTTCCAACATCCATTTGTTTTGTAGAAAATTTATTTAGGAAAATGTTTTTCAAAAAATGACAATATTTTTCGGTGTTTGACTGAAATTTTAAAATGAATTGGAAATTATTTTCCGATTTGGAAAGGAAAACTTGATTTTATTTTCCTAAAGAGACGCACTATTTGTGTGATGTAAAAGATACCCAACCATCGAGGTCCCAATTGTACAAGCCGGATTTCTCGACCAAGCCA